TCTAACATCATTTTAATGAATAGGCAGTACCCTACTGTAGGGATATAGCCCAGCAATCACTGTGAAATAGTTAGGTTGTTTATAATTTTACATCAAGAGTCACTGGCTCTCTGCCCTGGCCAGTTTGGCTCAGCGGTTAGAGCGTTGGCCTGCGGTCCGGAGAGACCCGGGTTCGGCTCCCGCTAAGGGCATGTACCTCGGTTGCAGTTTGTCCCCAGCCCTGGTTGGTCGTGCGGGTGGCAGCCACTCGATGTGTCCCTTTCACATCGATGTTCCTCTCTCTCTCTCTCTTCCTCTCTCTCCCTCCCACTCTATCTGTACAAAAAATGGAAAAATGTCTTCGGGTGAGGATTAAAAAAAAAAAGTCACTGGCTCTGGAATCAAACAGCTTAGATCCAAACCCTGGCTCTACTACTAACTTTGCTACTTTGAGCAAGCTACCTCATTTCTCTATGGCTCCGTTTTCTCTTCTAAAAAATGGAATATTGTCTACTTTATATAATTAAGGGGGGGATGCAAATATGTTAATACATAGCTTTATTATCAACAATGCTGTAATTGGTATGCTCCCAAGCTACCAATTTAATAGTATTTTTATTACATCAAAATAAATTCCCTTAAATGGAAATTTTCACATCAGAAGGCTTTTGAGTCTGTCAAATTACAGCTGGGTTTAAAGACCTCATCAAATAGCTCTCACTGGACACTCATTTCTCTTTACCCAAGAAAATAAAAACTATGATCCAGTTAAGCTAACCAGCTTGTTTCACTCAATCAGCTCTTCCACCTTTGTACCTGCAAACTTAAACGTATTTCATAAAAATCTCAAAATTTGTAGGGAACTTAAGGACACTGGGCCCAAATCCTCACTCAGCACATCAATTTCCCTAAAGTTCCCAACCTGAATACTGTCAAGTGAGGGTAGACAACCTACCACCCAAAACAATATATATTTACTGTTTTGGAAAAAGTTTTCTTGGAGGAATGTTGAAATCTGCCTCCTCCTAACTTCTACGCACTGATCCTAGTTCTTTCTAGTTAGATCAAACCTGATCTGTGTGACAGACTTCCAAATGTTTATAGACAACTATCATTTCTTAGAGGAGCTTCTCTTCCTTGGAGCCAGACATGTTTTCAACCTTTCCTCCTTTTCATTTCCTCCATGATCAAGGTCCTCTGGTTTGTTTTTTGTTTTTTTTTGGGGGGGAGGGGGGCTTGTTAATCCTCACCTGAGGATATCTTTCCATTGATTTTTAGATAGAGTGGAAGGGAGAGAGGGAGGGAGAGAAAAAAACATCTATGTGAGAGACACATTGATTGGTTGCCTCCCACATGACCCCAGCAGGGCAGGGATTGAACCTGCAACCCAGGCACATGCCCCTGACTAGGAATCGAACCCTTAATCCCTCAGTCCTTGGGCTACCACTCTAACCGTTGAGCCAAACTGGCCAGGTCAGTCCTCTGGTTTTTAAAGTTGAGTGTCTACCACCTAGGAAACTTGAAAAAAACACAGTGGCCCACATCCTATGCTACTTAAGCTTGGGCCTCTGTGGATTTTTGTTTTGTTTTAATTAGCCCACCAGGTGATTCTAATATAAAGTCTGAGAACTGCTTCAAGGTCCCACTTATGATGGTATGCAACCTAAAAAGCTGACATAACGTCCCAGGTATAATACAACCAGTATGAAGTAAAATAGGGCTAACATCATGCTCTTTATATACCATGTTCTACCAACTTCAGGATGACATTTACGTTAAAATATATATACTACAGTGTTGGTTCTACAAGCAGTTAAAATAATCAAGTCTTTTCCACATTCTCTATTTGTGCATTAGCATCTTCTGCCCTAACTGCCAATTTACAATTATTCCCATTAAAAGGTAAGAGAACTAGGGATAAGAGTTTTAGATTAGATTTCTATTTCTAAACGTATCAATGGCCCTGCACATGGATTTACATTCGGTGGAAAAATTACTCCATGCTAATCTAAGCCTCTACACTTACATCATGGACATACTTAGTCCAAATAAAGGTGTACTAGCCCACCAAAGATTGAACTGACAGCTGATAACACCAAAGTATCTTCTCTGTGCAGAGCACTGCTGTCAATACTCTGAGGAAACACAAGCCCTAGTACTGAGATTTGAAAGATTTATACCTTCTAGAGAGCACAATGAAACAAACATGTTCAGAAAATTTAAGTAGAATACTAATTATATCTGTAGACACATTAGTGTTATAGAAATATGCTTACTGGTTGGAAAGCTATGGAGCCAAAGAAATGATACTAATTAGAAAACTAAGTTGCCCTGAACTCTGTTTTGTTTGGCTTGTTTTCTAATGTTTGCAGAGAGAGGCGATGGAATCCACTGGTGAGTTCATTCAGGCTTAGGCTACTTGCAAAAGGACACCTCACCGCCAAAATGCACGCTCAAAATGAAGTCATGATTCAAAAGTTCATGTAGTAATTTCTGAATTCCTTATGACTTGTTTGCTCTACCTGTTGCTATTTCTAACTCATGAGGTACACAAGGGCAAATTTTTTTAAAATGTTCTTTCTATGAAAGATGTAGCCCATTATAAATTCATCTCAGAAAGAGGGGGTCAGGGGCAAACCAAGATCCAATCTGATATTTATTTTCATTTGAATAGCAAACATCAAAAATATACCTGGCATTTTCTAACAATTACATGAAGAATGACCAGATGCTTCCTGTTGATGAAACAGAGAACTAGACTGACAGAACCAGACTAGAGTTCACAGAAACAACTGGAAATGAATTTAGCTTCATTTCAAAACCAGTAAATCAAAGTATGGCCTTAAATTTTCACACATTTACAGTATAACTGCCCCTCAACATAGAAAACTCAGATTAATTCAGAGATATAAAACTCTAAGTTACAGAACTCTAAATAACAGTTACCTTGAAGGTAAATATATGCATGACAAAAGTATTATTTACCAAAAGTTTCACTGCAGGGTTCCTTTTAAGTCTAGGGCTCCTACAGAGCTTTGAAAAGTGTTCTATCTTCAAAATGACATTTACATGCAAGTTTCACAAGCACATCCAATACAGAACTCACATTTTATTTGTGTACATCATTAAAAGTAAGTTGTGGAATTAAAAATTCAAGTTTAATTTCTTAAAATCTTTTCAAATGTTCCCGAGTCTCCAGAATCACATGGGATCATGCAATCTTTACTTGTGATGTTGTTTATGCATCTAAATCCCAAGTTGAAAAAAGTTAGAGCCTAAGAAAAAAGTACCGAAATCAGCCTTCTTATCCATATTTTAAAAATGTGTCTGGTATAATATCCTGATTTGACTTGTATGGTGAGCACCAGCTAGAAAGTATACATTTCTCAGTTAAAAAAAAAAAAAAAAATGCCATGAATATACAGTGGATTGTTCCAGAGGTTATATGGTGATACTACAACAGACTGAATGCAGAAGTAGATTTAAGAATCTAGCTGTCTTCCATTCACCAGACATTTCAAAGACTTGTAGAAATGCAAAACAATGCCAGTCTTTGACCAATATGTCATTATATTAACATGCAATGAATTTATTTTTGTTAAATACTTAAAAAGAGGAAAATGCAGAAAAATAAAATCTTTTAGTTTCCTTAAATTCAAAGTCTGGGCCTGAAAGTGGAAGTGTCAAGGCTGATGGTTTATGTCACTGAGAAATTTAAAGCAAGCTGGGTGCATCTACATGTGAAATAAAGTAAGCTATCTGTAAAAAGAATTTTTGACCGTTAACTTCTACATCATAAATGATAGTGCATCTTTAATTCTGAGATGGCAAGTGACAAGGATCCTTTACTAATTACACCAAACCACTTTCCAGGGGAAAATTGTACTTCAGAAAGTAACTTGCCTGAATCCAGACAGCAAATCATTGTCCGGAGAGAGCACTTAAAATATTTCCACACTACCAAGCCCCCTTCAGAATCGCTGTGGTCTCTGCCCCTCCTTTGAACAGATGTCTGCTCGCCGCAGTCCAATCAGGTTTAAAGCAAGAGTCTGTGTACTGCAAACAAGCTTAAAGTGGGAAAACACACACAAAGCGGGCCTACATCATTCCTCTGGTTTCAGTTTTCACGTTGCACCCTTGAGGCGAGGCACGCCGAGCACACGGCGGGAGCGCTTCCACGAAACCCACTTGCAGACACACTGATTAACGGTGCCCAGGCAGAGATGACCTGGCAAATTTTTAAACTTCTTTCCCAAAGCCATGCATCCGCAGATCCCGGCGGCCAAGTCCCAAAAGCAGGTCCCAGTATCCATAGTGGCAGGCGTCGTGCCCACAGGACTCCAGTCCCCGAGGCCCAGGCAGTCGCCGTGGCAGCCCCGCGCGGGAGAGGACGCGCTCCCCGGTTAAGCCTGTCGGGACCGTCGGCTCCCGCCGCGGCCCAAGCGCCTCCGGGCCCGGGGACTCCGAGGCACAGCGCGCCCGGGGCCGGCCCCGCCGCCGCCCTTTTCCCGCTCCGGCGAGCCCCGCAGGGCGCTCAGGCCGCCCAGACAAAGAGATCCGCGGCCGCCGGGGCGGCGGGCGCCGAGGCCGGGTCGTGTCTGCCTCTCTCCCCCGCCCGCCGCCCGCCGCCCGCCGAGCCCCCGATGCCCCGGCCCGACCCCGTCCCTGCCCCGGGACCGCCACTCGGGACGGCCCGGCGAGGAGCGGCGGGGAGGCCGCGGCGCGCCGGGGCCGAGGAGGGGGCGGCGGCCGCCACCATGTCTGCCCGCCCCTCCCAGAAGCGGGGTGCCCAGCGGACAATGCGCGCCGGCGGCGCGGGCGGAGCGGGCGCCCAGGCCGACCCCGTCGACCCCCGCGGAATAAGCGGGGCCAGGAGCCCCGGAAACCCGGCGCCTTAATGCAATAAACAGGAAATCGCGGGGATGATCTGGGTTCCGGGGGAAGTGGAATTATTTTTTACCAGCGAAGAGATCAACTTCCACATCCGGTGGTAACAGGGCCCTACACAGACCCGCACTGACCTGGAAAAGCTTCGGGAGCGGCGACGGGGGAGCAGCAGGAGGTGGTGCGGGGACCCGAGGCGCTTCGTACCCGGCCGGGCTGACGCGGCCCCGCTACACACAAAGCGCTTCAGCTGCACAGGGCGCTATTTTCCGAAAATGCCGCGTCTGGTCGGCGCCCAAAATCCCCACCGAAAAGTCCCCGTGCTGCGCGCGGAGGGACACATCGTGTGCGAGTGAGTCAAAGCTCCCAGCATCCCTCCCGGACCCGGCCCTCGGCAGCCCCGCGTCTGAGCCTTTCCGCCCCGGACCGCGTCAGCAGAGCCCCCTCCCACCCACTGCCCGACCCCATTCCGGAGGGAAGAAGGGGCGAGAGGGTCCGATTTTCGTTTTTAACGGCGGGGGAGGAAATAGGCCATTTCTAGAGCTTTAGCCACACAAAGAAAGCGGCGGAATGATCCGCTCTCGGCGACCGCAAGTCCCGGCTCGCCCGGCGCCTGCGCGGCAAGGGGTGGGAGCTGCGGCCGGCCATGTGCGCCGGGAGCAGTCGGCCTGCCGCCGCGCTTTCCCGCCTCCTCGGGCTGGGAGTGGGGAACCGAAGGGCAGGTGCTGACCTCCGTGTCTCTCCGGCATGAATGCTGAGAAACGGGGAGTCCGGGCTCCGAGATTAAGCCGAGGCGCTTAGCAGAGTGCTGGGAGATGGAAGGGCAGCCAGGATTTAACTTAAAAGTGCCCCTGGATTCAACGAGGCAGGCTGGGACAGGAGTGGCTGTTGAGGTGCAAGGGGAGGAACAAGGATGGTCCGGTTTATGACGTGTAGATTCCTGTAGCTTTTTTTTTTTTTTTTAATTCTGATGCTCTCTCATACTTTGTAGACCCTAATAACTGCTCTCTGAGTTCCGTTGGATTACGGTCACCAAAGGTAGAGATGTGCTTTTTTTTTGTGGCTGACATGTCAAGATTTTTGTTGTGTTGTATTTAATAAGAGAGCAGCAAAAGTTTAGTTAGGTATGGTGATTTGCAAAGTAAAGCCTTATGAATTTAATTTACATGGGCTGATTTGCTAAGATACCCAACACACGGATATGTTTGTGTATGTTTTTAATTATTGATTGATTTTAGAGAGAAACAACTATTTGTTGTTCCACTTATTGATGCATTCATTGGTTACTACTTGCATGTGCCCTGTATCCAACTCACAGCATAGCAGGACCATGCTCTAACCAACTGAGCTACTTGGACAGGGCCACACTGATATGTGATTTTTTGTTTGTTTGCTTTTTTTAAAGTTTCACAAACTTTATGGATGAAACAAAAATATAATAATAATTTAATATAGTATTTTGTCATATTTGTCTAATGAGAAGAATGGAATCCTTTCCTATGGGAAATAGAACATTTTCACTTAAGTGGAGCTCAGAGTTAATGTTCTCTATCATCAGATCAATTGTGATTGTTAATCTGTAAAAACCATTCTTAACTTGTGGCCCAAAAAACAGCAGGTTTGGCCTGGGGGGCCTCAGTTTGCTGACACCTGGACTATGCCATTATGCCCAAATTGGTGCAAACTCCTCCACAGTACAGCCCCAAATACCTTTCCAGCTTTGATCACTGCTGTTCCCCTAATAAAATTTTTTTTAACCCAACTCAGTTACTGGTATTCTTTGGACATTCTTTGTTTTTTCCGGAAAGGCCTCCTTGTCCAACAAAACAAGCAGAAGTCAAGATCTAGGTTCTGTCACTTTAAAGCTCGATGCCTTTGGGCAAGTGATTTAACCTCTTTGTGCCTCAGTGTCCCCATCTGTATGTAACCTGGTTTTCAAGCCTCACCATGAAGTGGTGATATGTTTTTAATAGAGGAGCCTAGGAATGACTTAACCACCCAGCATTCCCAGCCTGCTAACCATACAACTTTTGGCATCCTGTATCTAGGAATTAAGGATATCAGACCGATCCAGGGAGAATTGACAGGTTTAATTAAATCCATATTGCCCACTGATTTTTGTGGCCTCGGATAAGTTATCTTTTCTCTTCTGACCCCTTTGTAATATCAATGTAGTAAAGATTTGTGAAGTCTTTGTATTAAAGCGCTGTGCCTAAAATAGAAGTAGAGTGAATGGCATAAGGGCCCTATTCTGTGTTTTCTTTTGATCTTATATTTTCATTGCTTCAGTTGATAAAAATTTGTCAAATTTTCGTCATGTGCTCTTCTTTAACATTGAGTTTATTTTAATGTATTCAGCTAGTGATTTCTCCAGCATCCTTGCCCTCATTGATGATATGCTGTAGAATGCAGACAAGTAAATAAGCATCATCAATATGATGAGGGTTAACAGTTGAGAACTCCGAAAACTCATACAAAAGGAATCTCTCACCTGGGGAGGGAGGAATGGAATGGGACTGGAGAAGCACTTAGCTTTATTTATTTATTTTTTTTTAATCCTCATCCAAGGACTTTTTTTTTAACCTCACCCGAGGACATTTTTCCATTTTTTGTTCACATAGAGTGGGAGGGAGGGAGAGGAAGAGAGAGAGAGAGAGAGAAACATCAACGTGAAAGGGACACATTGAGTGGCTGCCACCCACACAACCCAACCAGAGCCAGGGACAAACTACAACCAAGGTACGTGCCCTTAGCGGGAACCGAACCCAGGACTCTCTGGTCCACAGGCCAATGCTCTAACCGCTGAGCCAAACCAGCCAGGGCGCAATTAGCTTTATTTATTTATTTATTTATTTATTTATTTATTTATTTTAAACTGCTCTTTTTATTTATTTATTTTTTTCCTCACCCGAGGACATTTGTAGATTATTTTGTTGTTGTTGTTCAGATAGAGTGGGAAGGAGAGAGAGAGAGAGAGAGAGAGATCGACGTGAAAGGGACACATCGAGTGGCTGCCACCCGCACGACCAACCAGGGCCAGGGACAAATTGCAACCGAGGCACATGCCCTTAGCGGGAACTGAACCCGGGTCTCTCTGGACCGCAGGCTGACGCTCTAACCGCTGAGCCAAACCAGCCAAGGCTAGTATATCTTTTTTTTTTTGGTACGTGCCCCTACGGGAACCGAACCCAGGACTCTGGTCCACGCGTCGATGCTCCAACCGCTGAGCCAAACCGGCCAGGGCTTGCTTTAATAAGGAAATTAGGGAAGGACCTTTCAGGCAGAGGAAGCAATAAATGCAAAGATTAAAAGGCAAATTCTGGAGAAATTGGTAGGTGAAAAAGTTGATGATGTTTCAGGAGTGCCTGAGATATTCCTAAAGAAATCTAGTCATGAAGGTCAGGGATTCCATGTGCAGGAATTAGCTTTTGAGAGCTAAGAAGAAGCAGTTGAAAGATTTTAGATAGAAGTATCATAAGATTGGATTTGCATTTCAAACAGATGACTATTGTGCAGAAATCAGAGGCCTGGAAAACAGCAAGATATTACTGAGATAGTAATAAATAGGCCTGAAGAATTTGACCAAAGTGTTTGAGAGCTTGGTGATTTGCTTGACTAGATAAGGGAATGACTGAGAGGAAGATACCAAAAATGACTCCCAAATTTGTTGGGAGAGCAGCTGGAAGGATGGTCATGTCTTCATTGCGATTAGAAACAAGAGAAGAGAAGTACATGTCAGATAAGAAAGAAGATTTTGTTAGGACCTTGTAGAAATAAGTGATTGTGAACCAACCAAGCAGATATGTATAATAGGTAATTAGATGTTTATTCATTTACGTTTGAAGAGCACCCGTCTATAATGCACTGCTCTACACACTGGAATAGATTAAGCAGCAGCAAGACCAACAAAGGCTCCTTCAGCTTCTTGTGGAAGGAACAGACTATAAATAAGTTTTACGGAAGAGGAGGAAAGATAATTCCCATAATATGTTCCATGAAGAAAATGGAAAAGGGTATTTGGATAAAATCTTGTTCTGAGGCAGAAAGCAGGCAAAATTTTTGTTGTTGGTCAGAGGTGGCCTCACTGAGAAGGTATTCAATGCTAGGACCTGAATGGGAATAAATTAAGGGCAGTATTTGAGACCAAAGGGAATAGCAGGGCAAAATCCTGAAATGAGAGTTGTGTTTTAGCAAGGAAGCTAGTGGGGCTAAAATCTAGACAGCAAAGGAAGGAATGGTAGAAGATGAAGTCTGCATCCCTAGTAAGTTTAAGTGGTTGGTTTTTTTTATCCTCACCCAAGGATATTCTTCCATTTTTTGTTCAGGTAGAGTGGGAGGGGGAGAGAGAGAGAGAAATATCGACGTGAAAGGGACACATCGAGTAGCTACCACCTGCACGACCAACCAGGGCTGGGGACAAACTGCAACCAAGGTACACGACCTTAGTGGGAACCGATCCCAGGTCTCTCTGGACCGCAGACCGACGCTCTAACCGCTGAGCCAAACCGGCCAGGGCCATTAAATGGTTTTTTTAAGGAATAGAGAGTAACATGGACAGTAGCAGTAAAGATAAAGTGGATGGGTTGGAGAGAGATTTTATTGCTAATGAATCAAACATGAGTGAGGGAAAGGGAGGAATCAAGAGTGATTACAGGGTTTAGGGCATGGTTGTTTAGACCGGCACTGTCTAATATAAATATAACAAGCCACATAATGTAATTTTATAGTAGCCACATTAAAAATGTAGAAAGGAACTGTTGAAATTAATTTTAATAGTTTTTTATTTAACCTAATTTATCCAAAAGAGTATTATGTCATTATGTGATCAGTATTAAGTATTTTACAATGTTTTACATTCTTATTCTCATTACTGAGTGTTTGAAATCTGATGTGTATTTTACCTGACAGCATATCTCAATACTTGATTTCATACAATTTACAGTTAAAAAAGTAAATTCATATACCCAAGACATTCCGAACACGCTTAAAAGTTTTTCAGTAATTGGATTATGTGTGAGGTTTTTAATGTGGTTTTAAATTAAGATTATAATTTCAGTTCCTAAATTAGCCACATTTTATTTATTAATTTTTTTTATCCCCACCTGAGGACATTTGTGCATTTATCTTCAGATAGAGCAGGAGAGGGAGGAAGAAAGAGAGAGAAACATCCATGTGAGAGAGACATGTCGAGTCATTGCCACCCACATGACCCCAACCAGGGCTTGGGACAAACCACAACCGAAGTATGTGCCCTTAGCGGGAATCAAACCCAGGAATCTATGGTCCACGGGCTGACACTCTAACCACTGAGCCAAACCAGCCACGGCTAAATTAGCCACATTTTAAGTG